CAAACTGACCTTATATACGCGTTACGGCGACCGGTGGTCGACCAATCAGTGTCTTCGCTCGTCCGTAGCTCTACGTCGGGTTAACGTATCCTTTCAACTAAGGAGAGTTTGACGGATGAAGTTTGTGAGTTAGACAATGTTGGGAGCGAAGTGCAAATGTAAAAAAGAGCATCATATTTGACCATATTCCGAAATTCTTAATGAAAGAAATCAAAAATGTAAACAATTAAAGATGGAAACTTTTTTCCAAAAAATGTAAGAAATTCGAAACTAAAATTTTTAAATAAAAACATTTTACTTTATTTTATGATAAAAAACATTTTAAAAATTAAAAATTTATATGTATTTTGTATTATATTGTATTAATAAACAAAATTATTAGCTTATTTTTCACTTATGTAGAACCTAACCCTATATACTTCACTGTAAATTCGGGTTCATTTTACGCCGATTCGATTTGCGCCGGCTTTTGAAGGAGCGAAACTGCGGCATAAACCGAGGGCTGCCTGTATTTATGAATTGATACTTTTGATAGAGAATAATTGTATTTACTGAATCATTAACACATTTCTTTTCAAACTACATTTGTTTTGGACTCTCCAAGAAGGAAACTTAACTTCACATTTTAACAAAATTAAATTGTGTTCTACCAAAAAAATTACTTCTACAAATGCCAAATGCTAATACAGGTAGCCCTCGGTTTACGCCGGTTCAATTTACGCCGATTCACAATNAAATGTTTTCCCGATGAAAATGAATAATAATAATAAGTTTCAATAAAAATAATAAAATGTAAATTGAATTTTATCATAACAAGTTTGCTTGAATTTCCTTTCTTCTGAGATCGCAGCAATGCGCGACGGGTAAGCTAGTATCCAATAAAAATTAGGACAGTAATAAAAATGAGATTCACACGAAATTATCAACAAAAATATAAATCCTGCAGGGTGAAAAATGATGCAATATAAAGATTTCCCCATAAGAATAACATTCTTTTACCATAGCACTGTCTTGGTAATCTAGTATTAGCCCAAAGGGGCACTTAACACTCTTTTTGAAAGCTCAATAGTGAGTTTATTATTGGCATTATCCTCTTGATGTTGTGCTACCCAAACTTTCAACATTCTAGATGTGGATCCAATGTACATTAATGTTGTTCCTGATAACGGCTTCCATAATAAAATTGCGTAAACTCCCAATTTTTGCTTTATGGCAACACTGACCCTATCATTACTTAACAACCTACATAAACAGAATCAGAACAGATCATAAACAGAAGGTGTTTAGAACTCTGTGTAGAAGTAAATAAAGGACCAAATGCAACCACATTTGGTGTGCAAACTTTCTTGACTGTGGGATTTTGAATGATTTCGGAAATAAAAAGTTTACTTCCAAAATTTCCTAACACAGAGAAATTTAGCACTAACGTCATTTCCTCTACGTATTAAACAGATCGTTAGAAATTTGAGCAACAGAGAATTTGAGATACAAAGTGTAATGATTTCATTGCAATTTCGTGTGCTGATTACAGATTCCATGTTTCAACTCTCTATAGATTACAATGATACATATGGTAATTTTACACATGGATAATGCATTCCACAGCAGAATGTAACTGACTTGGTTGCAGTTGTTTTCATTGTAGTGAAATTATATCTTTAAAACAGCTAAATAAAGAATATCTTCCTGAGAAATAGTAGCTCCAAGTTGCTCCATAACAAGAAATCACAAAATTGAGTCTAGTAACTATGGTGGCAGGGCATATTTTTCCAAGTAACACACATCAACTAATTTGTCATGAAATATACAATCATTCTGTTTGTTTCATGCTTAACTTTTCATTTTACATGGAGTTATTCCACATAAGAAGTGCTCAGTCCCAAGCGAATCACCTTGTAAAAACTACTTGAAGGGAAAAGTAAAATATTGGTAATGCAAAAAGTGGACAATGTTGCAAAACAATGATTCAAATCATGTTTAAAAGTTGAAACAGCATCATTGGCTGAAAATTGAAACTGCAAAAGGTCATATCCAAACGTGCACCATCAACGCTTTTTACAGTCTTGCAGAATGCGTCGTCATCCTAAAATATGATTAAAAAGTGAGTGACAGCATTTCAAAAGGGATGTCAAAATGTCAGCCTGGCCATTCTCCAGTTACAGAAGACAAAGTGCCTGCAATAGTCTCATTGATGGGAAATGATCTTGTGTAGGAGGTCAATCTGGCTCTTATGACAGTCATCCACATTCAAAAGATATGACTGTAAATATGGAAAATTGTATCTTACTGGATAACATGTGACAGTCTATAAATGGCAGCATTATGTTTATGCTACTTGGAACAATCTTAACATGAAGGGGAAGCATTTCACTTCTAAGATGCAATATTACACTCAATGAAACATGGGCTTATTTGTACAAGCTCCAACAGAAATGTCAGATAAAGGAGTGATGGTATTTCTCTACTCGACAGACAAAAATGCAACAGAACCACAGTAACACAAAGGCAATGATCATTGTCATGTATCAATACGACGATGATATCCTAAGCACAAAGTTACGCAAAGAACAATCCATCAATGCTCAGTACTGTGCTCATTCCTTGAAACACAATCTATGAGCAACTTTGCAGAAGAGTGATGTCACTTTCTGAGCAATACATTCTTTATTTTACATGATAATGCATACTGTAATGTGGCTGCAAATGTCAACAATCTTTTCACTTGGTAGGGCTGTGAGATGCTTTATCACCCACACTATTCACCTGACTAAATCTCCGTGACTTCCATAACAACCAAATTCAGGGACAGAAAATTTCATTTTGTAAGACGCCATAAGAGAGCTACATAGTTGACATGACTTTTTTCTTTATATAACACTAAGATGATCTTTCTCAACATTTTGGAGTAGTTTTTGATGTAACCAACAAAGATGTTGAATGACTTACAACAAGANTAATTTGTCATGAAATATACAATCATTCTGTTTGTTTCATGCTTAACTTTTCATTTTACATGGAGTTATTCCACATAAGAAGTGCTCAGTCCCAAGCGAATCACCTTGTAAAAACTACTTGAAGGGAAAAGTAAAATATTGGTAATGCAAAAAGTGGACAATGTTGCAAAACAATGATTCAAATCATGTTTAAAAGTTGAAACAGCATCATTGGCTGAAAATTGAAACTGCAAAAGGTCATATCCAAACGTGCACCATCAACGCTTTTTACAGTCTTGCAGAATGCGTCGTCATCCTAAAATATGATTAAAAAGTGAGTGACAGCATTTCAAAAGGGATGTCAAAATGTCAGCCTGGCCATTCTCCAGTTACAGAAGACAAAGTGCCTGCAATAGTCTCATTGATGGGAAATGATCTTGTGTAGGAGGTCAATCTGGCTCTTATGACAGTCATCCACATTCAAAAGATATGACTGTAAATATGGAAAATTGTATCTTACTGGATAACATGTGACAGTCTATAAATGGCAGCATTATGTTTATGCTACTTGGAACAATCTTAACATGAAGGGGAAGCATTTCATTTCTAAGATGCAATATTACACTCAATGAAACATGGGTTTATTTGTACAAGATCCAACAGAAATGTCAGATAAAGGAGTGATGGCTTTTCTCTACTCAAAAGACAAAAATGCAACAGAACCACAGTAACACGAAGGCAATGATCATTGTCATGTATCAATACATTGATGATATCCCAAGCATAAAGTTACGCAAAGAACAATCCATCAATGCTCAGTACTGTGCTCATTCCTTGAAACACAATCTATGAGCAACTTTGCAGAAGAGTGATGTCACTTNCCGGTCGACCGGGACCCATTCATCCGAGTAAACATCGGAGTCCCGGTCGACCGGGACTTCGATGTTTACTGATAACTTCGTCCACAGTTATATTTGATAAAGTGTGGCCTTTAAACCGGTTTCTTCGACGACCTCCCTAGAAATGACAAAAATCAAAGATGCCAATCCGGAGACAAGTTGCAAATTCACAAAAACTTTCTTAGAAGTATCATGTTTTACTTTATTGGATTTGACCCTCTGGGTGAGTACGTGGTGTAGTCCAGGCTTCTATTTTGTTTCATATTTTGGGACGGGGTAAAGATTAAGAAACAAAATTCGGCAGCAGGATCAGACTTAAGAAAATTTTACTGGTTATAGACATTTACTACCTTTTCAAACACTCGTCTCTACTGTCGGAATTAAGCCTTTTGCAATAAAGAGGCACCACTCAAAATTTTATCTTCGTGGTAACAGGTCTTAGCATTTCTTAATTAAACACAGATATTTTCGGCAGGGAAGTTATGCAAGTCGTTGCCGCACGTTCAAATCGCCATCAGTACAAAAATAAATAAACGTAGCACGTTTCGGTACCCCCATTATAAGACAGTAAGAACTATAAAATGCTTTAAAGGAGATCAAAGGGGCTGTCCACAAATGACGTCCATACCCAGAGGGGGTTGTAAACGTTTCCAGAAAAATGCCGACGTAATTTATGGACAGCTCCAAATAAAAAAAAAATAGGTATTTTATTATTACTACAAAATTCCTTTTAATATTTGCTTCTGGAAAATTTGTTAACGATCAAATGGGGGATGGAAAAGAAAGTCCATTCTAGCGAACGCTCAGGTGACAAAAACGTTGCAACGGTCGCTTCAATAAAACTCGAGAGACCAGGAGAAACGGAAAAAGTCGTCCCTCCGGACCGACGTCGCAAAAATGTCGCAACTCTACACGTTTTCTTAAAACTACACGCTCGGAATTCTCGACATATAAGGGAGCGACGCTTCCGAAAATAAATCGCGAGCGACCTTCGACCCCGCCGATCGGCGGGGCGGAACGGAGTGACGTCACGGGAGGGAGCGAAGGGTTTACGTTAGGAGGAAGTGGGAAAAACAAACGAAGCGACGTCGATAAACCTTCGAACCGAAAGCGGACGCCAGGGCGTTATAAATAGTAATAAAAATCCGGGTCGACCGGAAGCGCTAACCTTGACGTTGAACCCGAATCTTCCCTGCTCGTCGGGCTTCATTCTGATGGTGACCAGACCCTGAACTTCGTCGTGGCCGTTGGGCTGCGGGAGGAGAAATCGAAACGGAAGTTACGACACGCGGAAGGGAGGGGGGAGAGGGGAAGCGGGAGAGAGAAGGAAGAGGGCACTCACCAGCGCGGTGTCCGATGCGTAAGAAGGTAATTCGTAGGTCTGATCGGTCAGGCTGTCCTCGTCCACGTAACCGATGAGTTTGGGCGGAATGGCCGGAGTGAAGGCGGTGGTTTCGCTACTGAAACGAGAAAATAAAGAGAAATTAGAGGGCCACCGTCGGGGAGGAAGAAGGAAGAAGAATCCTCACCCCCACTTCGCGCGCTTGTTTCTCAACCAGGACGCCAACGAGACGTTGGAGAGGGAGAGCCTACGAAGCATAATACCCCCGAAACTTATGGTCGCGCAGGTGAGTCACGCGGACCGAGCGGCGACGGGCCGATCGATGGGGCCCGGCGCCACTCTGTCACGTGGATTTTCGAAGGGTAAGCTACGCGCTCGAGCGTTTTTTGGATAGGGTGAGCGTAGAGCTCCTGCGACGGAGCGTGTCTCTCGCCCGATTGAGCGATCAGAAACGGAAATACCTCTCGCATCCGGTGTAAACGGGTACTTCCGGAAAGGTACGGGTCGTTTCGCAGTTGAAGAGTTCGAACCCATCACTCAATGCCTTTAATACGTAACACGAGAGGAAGGATTATTCTAACGGGGGGAGGGAATTGTATAACCTCCCTAGAATTTCGATACAAGGGTGTAAGGACCTTAGCACAAAATTGGCATCTTGGCTTACGGGGGAAACGCCCCAGCACTGCGAATCGATTTTATGACAACCACCCCTTCACTCGAGGGGTAGAGAGACTAGGCACGTGCCACTTGTGTATGCAAAAAAGATACGCCTATATTTATTATGTTTACGTTTCGTTAACGCCCGTTCGAATATTTTCGAGGGGGGAGCAAAAAAAGTAACTTATCACTTGGTTATTTCTACACAAAAATCATTTCTCAACGGGTAGATCGAGGGCTTTCGTGTGTCGTACGCGAGATAACGACGAGTTCATTCATCAAACCTCGAAGTAACTAAAAATAAGCGTTACGAAGTTAGTGACGCAATTACACAACCAGTTGTCAAACAGATCACCCATTAGATACGTACTTTCGCATCTCGGTGTGACGAAACACGACGAGAGAAAATTCAAAATCTGGCACAAAACGGTCACCGGGATCGGCGTTGTTAAGTGAATTTCTATACTTAAGCACACCCCCTCCATCCGAGATTTCGTGATTAGCGTGACGAGTGACGCACGAGGGGGAGGAGGAGGTATTTTTAATTAAACATTACCAGAACGGTCACTCGGAGATAAGCCAGATACTCACCCAGTTTAAATATTGACGTGTAAAGGGGACGGTTAAAAAAAAAAACACAATGGCTTTAATCCTTACACAAAAGTCGAGAGAGTAACCCGACGTTACGCAGTGTTTAGAACGAAGTGACGATTACAAAATTCGTTTCCTAACGTCACTTATTGACACACATCACGCGATATCTAATCATTCGTTTTTTTTTTGTTTTTTTTTATCGTTTTAGTCACCCGAAACGTCACGCGGAATTTGAGGAAACGTAACGGACGTCACGCCGATTTTTCGAATTCTCCTAATTAACGATTCTTTCTACGGTCACGGCGCGTCAACGTCACACTAGAAATGTTTAACACTAATATCCTGGATAAGTCTCGAAACGTAACTTCGTATTACGTCACGCGTTTCGACCCCGTTGCGTCATATTTCCAGACAGAGCGTGACTTCGTAACGTGATTTTATAAAATTTAAATTTAGTAACGAGAAGAGAAGTATGAAAATCACGACTGTTTTATTAATATTATTATCGATTACTTTGTTATTGTTGGGTGTTTTTCCTTGTGTTTAAACTCGGAAGCTTACCCCATTTTTTTGCGCTTCAGATTAACATTTAAAGGTAGGAGGTAGATGTTAACAGTCTACAGAAGAATGCGAATAAAAACAACAGCTGTAGGTCTTCTGAGGAGAAGACTACGCAGAAAATAGGCGTTAGATGGTCATCCTCTTCCATACAAGACATTTAGAATAGTCTGTACACGTCTTCTAGAAATCAGAACTCTTAATACATCGAAAGGTGCGGGTTCGGTTCCGAAACGGAGGAGAACCACTGTTTAGAACGAGCATAAAATACACCGGAGCGTTTTTATTTAAATATTAATTGCTTATTTTTCTTTCTTTTTTTAAAGGCCGGAGAGCATTTCTTCCGGCGATAAAACTCTTTATTTAACAGCAAACCCGAACAGATAAGACTTTTACGACGACTTCTTTATTATTTATTGCTCCTTTTTGTCATCGATCCCGCTTTAACGGCCACTTTCGGCTGCAACTTTTATAAATTCGGGCGAAAGAGTTAACCACCCTTTCTACGAGAAATGATGACGGAAAGAAAAGGATAGTCCCTGCAGAGAAAACATACGAAACTCCCCCCTACAGGAGAACTTAAACCCGTTCCAGGGTGGACCAAAATTCGGTTAACCGCACCAACTAAACTTCTATCTTATTAACCGACTCTTGGGTCAATCTTTCCTACAAATTTCCATTTTAACGCTTTAAATTATAAAAAAGAAAAAATAGAATTTTTGGGACGTTTAGGAGTAAAAATACGCGAAGAGGTTGCGTATTTTTACTTAAATTCCCTTAAATAAGACGTTTATTATATCCGCTAACTACGGAAACGTTACGACACGTCACTTAATTCGATGGTCGGGAGTAACACGAGACTCGACGGTCGGTGTAAACAACAGTCTAGTGCCCACTTCCACTTCTATTATGGGAATTCTGTTTATATTCCCTCCATAATGGGATCATTTAAAGGAGTAACAGGAACCCGAATTGTTTCTGTATAATTATCTAACAACCGTAGAAGACAATTCGCATCGTTCTAGTGAAAACATTGAAGTACGGTTCGACAGTAAGTGGTCAAGGAACTGTTTAGAAAGTAGGAAATTGAAGCGACCTAAAGACCCGAAAACAACAGAACTCCGGGGTATTATTTATGCAAACATTTACGCTAGAAACGTATGGAATTTGTAGAAAATGGAATGTATATATATTAATAATTTACTAGGAAACTAAACACGATTCGTCCAATTGTAAACGGGGTGCAGGAAACGTTAGCTTTTACTTACGGACCAAAAACACACGCTGGTCAGTAACGGGTATTCTGATTCGGTGCCGGATAGGTCCCTAGACTTTGTACAATATTATGAGAGGTTTGGCTAGACACTGGAATAAATCACATTTGGACACAAACGTGCATGTGTGTATATACGTATTAGATAATTTGGAATACAATAAAAGATAGTCACTTACCAAACAAACGGTGTTAAGGACTTGCCTAATTCCTTAATCCTCTTTCTATTATCCCAGTGCATATACATAAACACAAATTAATGGTGGAAATGGAATGCCCTCTGCCAAACGAAGCAACTTACATAGACAATTTCAAAATGTAAGTTGTAGGGAAACATCATGTAATTGTAACAGCATATGGTTTGGAAAATATCTACCACTAGACCCCCTTCTGAACATATTGTGGACCTCTTAGTCTCCAAATCAGATTTGGGAAACATGCTCTTGTCCATAATGGATGACAGAAGGTTGTGTATCTAAGCTCTTGGGTTTTCTATAGTTTTTGTTCCCCCAGAAGCAGTTAAATTAGATTAATTCTAATTTTAATTATCAATAATTATCGAGAGCACTTGGATGGCTTACTTAAGACCCAACGATTTGGTTTTTTTCAGGTTTCCGACGACTGGAAAATAAGGTAGTATCAATTTACTAAGTATTATAATAAATAAATAACTTTATAACATTGTAATTCACAATTCGTTTTGTGGACTTTGTTCTTATTTAAAACTTATTTATTTATTTATAAATTGAAATGGGAAGTTACTCATTTATTATCTTTTTATAGTAATAAGTTTTTCAAAATGTATCGGTATATACTTCATAATACTTCTTTGTCAAAGTGAAAAATTAATAATATGAACTGGGGCAAATATTATGTTTGATAAGTGGACAGATGAATGTGTTAAGGTGGTATAATCACTATTATAGTAATTGATTTAGGATTGTACTGGGAGAAATAAAAATAGAACTTACTAGTAGTACAGTAGTAGGAAGAGTTTAGAGATACAGAGTGAGAGAATAAGAATGGATAACACTGAGACGATGGTGCAACCAATAAGGACAGGTTTGTGCCAAGTCCGAGGTGGTCATTTTATTTGGACATTATAATTTAGTGTTTTAAACTGCTGGATTTTTGGTTATAGAGTGTATTTTTTAAATGATGTCCAGTTAAGGAAGTCAGAAAAGAACATAATTTTGCTATGTCAAATCTTCCAAAATGCTACTATTAAAACTTGATATCATGTGCCAGAAGTGAAAGAAGAAATAACTCCTAGATAAATTAATGAATTTGTGTTGGGTATTTCTTTAAAATTGTGTCGGTTACTTTTTCTTCATACATTTTACCCGTCCGGCCTTGGCTGTCCTACGTAGGTTAATTTCTAATGATGGGGACCGAAATAATGTTGGAGAAATCTGAGGTTTACAAAGTTCCTCTACGTAGTAAAAACAATAATAGTATAACACAAAAACCAAATATGATCATAGGGAGATGCATAATTCAGGTGTTTTTATGTCCAATCTTTTTTTTATATTTCCAGGCTGAAGGTAATGTATTTGCATCTCTCGTGTTCAGGCATTGCTTTTGATCTTGCTCTTGTAAATTTCTACTTTTTTCATATCCATAGTGACGGTTAGAGAATGTACCTTTTAATTATGTTCACTTCATCCCACTTTAGGGTATAGAACATCCTCTATAGACGAGCTCATCAGATGTTAGAAAGAAAACAAAGATAAATCTCCAAAAAACATTGATAGAATCAATAAATTCACATACAACAAATGGTCGAGAGGCACTATAAATGAGCTGGCAACTTATAAAAACTTGAGTATAGTTTACAAAAGAGATCCTAATATTTTGTTTACTGAGAAATGATAAAGACAAACTAAAGAAAGAAGAATAGGCTGGAGTATACAAAATACTTTATAAAAATCAACAGTTAGGGTTCCAAAAAGATTTCATTGGAGTCACAAAAAGAAACTAGTTATGTGCCGGATCGTTAAAAATGTATATCTGCAGATACAGATACAGATACGGATCTCAACTTTCGTACTCAGTCAGCGCCGGTGCTTGTGACTTTAGACCAAGAGTTGACATTTTGCATTAGTAACGCGATGTGTTTCGATTTGCACTGCGCGTGTTTTTGTTTATAGTTTAGTGTGACACGGGATAGCATAGATTACATTTGTATCCTTGGAGAGTGTTGAGTTAAATTAAAATAAAAACAATGTTGACAAAAAAGTTTAGTAGTATAATATGGAAATATTTTACGATAGTAAATGAATTTCGCTTGATAAAATTTTTGCAATATGAATATGCCAAATATGTGATTTTAAGAAATAAAAAGTGATTTGAATTGAAGTTATTAGTATTTTATTGCTACCTATCTTTAAAATTTCATATAAGTAATGAAATTCATTAAGATAAAAGATCCGCTAAAAAGTAACAGATACGGATCTTTTTTTTCCCTTGGATATCCACGGATACGGATATCCGACACATCACTAAAAGAAACCTCATCGTGCGACTCGAAAAACACAAATACAATGTAAAAAAATGCCACAGCAATACAATTTTAGCAGCAATGTCACAGGTGGAAGGATTTGTTATAAAGTGGGATGAAGCAATCATCATTAAAAAGGTACATTCTCCAACCATCACTATGGTTATGAAAAAAATAGAAATTTACAAGAGCAAGATCAAAAGGCAGTGCTGAACATGAGAGATACAAACGCATTACCTTCAGCCTGGAAATATAACATTGAAAAAGATCTGGACACAAAAACTCCTGAATTATGCATCCCTCTATATTTGGCTTTTGTGTTATACTATCATAGTTTTTATTATACATTTTTCTTATTTGCATATTTATTTGCATTTTGTTAACACTGTATATTTTTTAGATTTATTTTTATTTAATGTTAACCTTATATATCTCATAAGTTATTTATTTAATTCGTTTCAATTTAAATTTGTATTTAAATACTTCAAAAGTTAAGTTTTAAATGTAATGTTCTATTCGTGGAACATTTTCTATACAGTTTTAAGAAACCTGACGATGGCCTACTGTAGGCTGAAAACATTAGTAAATAAAAAATATTCTCTCAGCAAATGAATAAGTGTGGTCAAAAATTTATGATACTTAAATAACAAAAATCGGGTCTATTTTATTTCAAATTTGACAAAAATTACAAAACTCCGGTGAAATTTGTAATATCAATAATTCATTAATTGTTTATGACCTCTGGTTTCTTCAAAACCTAGATATTTTGTATTTGCTGTCCTGTCATGAGAGAGACCATTGGAACATACTGACTTATGTGTGTTGCTTGGTAAAACAACTGTAATACAGCTATATAAGAAGTTTACCAAGCAGTATGGTCATTTTAATTTATTTTTTGTTTGTCCAATATAACATCCCATATTGGGTAATAGCTGGTTTGTGAGAATTCATCAATAAAACAAAACTTTGGGAATCTGAGAGTGATCATATTTCTAAATCTAAATATATTTTAATCCTTAAATAATACTGAACAGACGTCTGGAACTTGTCATATTTTATTTTATGCACAAGACAAACCACTTAATGTGTATCCAAATGAACTGGATTTATCAAATAATTTCACAAATTCCAATTCTTATTCTTAGCAAAATTTTAAATTTTATACACGTAATTTTTAACAGTAAAAGAATACTTGCCTCGGTGTCTCAGCCCAGGCCTTTCTTGGTCTGTACTCGGGCTCGGAGACTTGAATCTTGTGATTAAAACTATCATACGGGCGGACGTGAGCGTTTGTGGTCCCGTTCATTTTAGCGACTGGTTTGGACGGTTTCTTCTCACGTACTTCTGTTCCATCTATAATCACTGCAGGTACTGTCTGCCTTACAAATCGTTTACTTGGGGACCTAGAAATTTACAGTAATAATGCAAATGAAACAAGTAAAGTAAATATTGAAATTATTTGTAATTAATTTGTAAATAAAAAAAAAAAAATTGAAACAACAATAATTTACTTATAAGCTAAATGGAAAAATGAATGTTTTTCAAATACAAAACTCTGAAAAAGTTGTGCACGTTTATATAAAATACAAATTTCATAATTTTTAAAATTTAACTATGAAATTGGTGTTTTGTATAAAATAAAAATATGAATATTAAAAAGCTTACAACAGATCTACCTACCTCATAAATGTTCTTTCTGTTCTCGCTCTCCGCTTTCCTTCCTCTAATGTTTGATACTCTGTTCTTCCACTATTTTCAAAAAAATAAGCCATTTATAAATCAACTGTTAATACAGTAACTTCACTACTGAACAAATTTCAAATGTAACTGTGCACGTATAAACAACTAATAAAAATTATCATTATCTCACCTATAACGAAATTTCGAACCCAAACTGAATAAAAGTCTTCGTGTGGGTGGGCGGGGTATGTGAAGACGAAAAAACGTGTGATGTTCCACACAAGACTTCCACAGATTCTTGCAAGATCGATAACTGAGCATGTTGAACCCCAAAAGGCTATCATAACTTTCTGTCTATGGAACAACATTATTTAAAGTTTTTAATTTAATAAAACTTTCTTACATGTTCTGCTTTGACCAATACAAAAATATTTTATAAACCATTAATTTTTGTCAACCGAATATGATGATTTTTACATTTAGAATAGATACTTCTAGATTATGTAATTTAATTTAGTTTCACACAATAAAACTATTAAAGCTGGTTCCCATCATATGTCACATAAAGAAAAGGAATTAAAATTGTCATGGATAACCGTAGCAGAAAATGGCTAGTGATTCCTCTTGACATAATTCTTGGTTTTGCAAATTTTTCCCAGAAATCTTTTAGCACATTGCTGTGACTGTTGAAAATTAATTCCAGCATTTAGAAAACACTTGCTGTTTATCAAGTTGAATATAACACACAAAAATTATTGATCCAAAGCAATGTAATTGATCAAATCTCCACTCACAAATTTTTACCCTAACAGGAAAGTTAAGACAAAACCACTTGTAGCAGCAGTGTTCTTTCTATTGTGGATGACATAAAAACTGCTCTGTTGATGCAATCAACATATTTTCCATCAATGTACAGTCGACCCCCCCCTATAATTACGGTCCCTATAATTACGATTCCTATAAAACTACGAAAAAATTGCTACCGGTATCCGTAAAAAATAGTAAAAGTTCCCTATAAACACCTCAAACGTCATCGGGAAGCCGAACTACTTTCCCGCCGTCCGTAGCGCCACGCTACGGAGAGATTTCTATCGTCTGGACAGTATTATATAAATTATATATAAATTAGGTACTGTACATATAATTATATATTAATTATATATAAATTAGGTACTGTATATATAATTATATATTAACTTATTGTAACTTTGTTATAATTAAATATATAATTTCCGCCGTCTAGCGTGGCGCCACGCTACGGAGATTTTTACGCTAACTATCGTCTGTACAGTATGTAAATTAGGTACCGTAAGTCTAATACAGTACTGTAATTTTATACATTTCTTGTGAAAGAAACATTTCTTATTCAACGGCGATTAAAATTATTTATATTAATGATGTCTCCGAAGTTCAAGGAACTATTCGCAGAAAAATAAGTTATTAGAAATCGGCCGCTGTTTGCTGAGCTGTTCCGCGACGAAAACAATGTTGAGCAATGGCAATGTCGAATGGTGACACTCGGTAAGTAATCCTACAATTTTTTATTTATAGCGTAGTTTATACGGATTATTTCCAAAAAAAATATACGTATTTTGGAAATGTTCAGTCGTATTAGTCTAGAATCGATTAATTTTATGGAAGATAATCTTTCAAACAGCCGTAGTCCATAAACTTGATACGTGTCGGGTTGTGATTGGAAGGATTCGTAAGAAATCGGATTCCTAAAGAATGGAACGTATCTCTATCTTATAGGGGGGTCGACTGTATGTGAAAACCAGCCTTTACTCGTTTAACTGCTTAACCGGAGTTTACACTATTTAATCATATCTTAAATTTCTCTAGTGCAATTGGGTTGTAATCCATCTGATGATCTCTATATACAAAATTCTGTTTTAAAATCTTCCAATTAAAAATTATATATGAAGATATTATTTAATAAACAGTACATGAGGGTTGTCCCAAAAATAATGCACATCGCGCTCTAGCGGGCGTTGTAGGCAATGTAGACAGCTAATCGAAGTGTCAGTGTGCAGATTGAAGTCTTGCAAATACGTTAGTATCATATGGTAGTGGAATTCGTTTAAAGGAAAAATGCCAAAAATTCAAAAAGATGAGAACAGTCAGTCAGGTAGGATTTCAGCAATAGAGCAACGTACATATATTCACATCTAAACAGTGCGTGGTAAAAAAGTGTACGAAATTCATTAAAAGAAGCGTGTGGACAGTTTACTGTGAAATGTAACACAGTACAAAGGTGGCACACGAAGTTTCAAGAAGGTCGAATAAGCATCAAAGACAATCCAGACATGGTGCGGCCATTTACTGTAACAGCTGACAACACAAATGCTTCAATCATTGCAATGTTGCTTGACGAAGACTGGAGAATCACAGTAAGAGAAATTGAGGCAGAGACAGGAATCTTGAAAATGAGCGGGCATCATATGGCCGCAAGCCGCACCACAACCTTGTGTGTGCTTAGCACCTGTGTTAAAACAGGTGTTAAGCACACAAAAGGTTGTGGAGTGGCGGACGGCCGATCATCGAACTTCTCAAAAAATACAGCTGGAAACAGCTCCGCTACCCGGCTTATAGTCCTGATCTGAGCCCACCCGACTTCAATCTCTCCGAAGAGAAGTGACCCGACAGATTCAGATGCTCAATAAGAAGGGGACACTGAACAAAATCCAAGCACTTCTGCACCATTGGAAGCATGCATTGATAAGGGAGGGGATTATTTTGAAGGCCTGTAATCACTTGTATTTTCTTCAATAAATATTTTTAGAGTTAGAGCCAACTGTGCATTACTTTTGGGACAACCCTTGTATAATCCAATTAAGCAGCCAAATGAATAATAAAACTTTTTCTTGTTTCAATTTACAATGTATTTCAGTAGTCAAATAGAAAATAATAAAGCTTATAGTTTATATTAAAAAATAAGATCATTGGAAAGATTTTTTAACATTTATTACATCACATAAAACATGTACAGTATTCTGACTAATAAATAAAACTGGGATCAAGAGTTCATTCAAAGCTCAAATTACTCATATTGACAAAAGTATCCTAGCTTCTCTATCACAGTCAATAGTAAATGATTACAGTAGAGCATCGATTATCCGACTCAATTGGGGAATGGGGTTGGTTGGATAATTGAAAAGCCGGATAACCGAAAAGTACGAAAAAATCCATTATTAGTGTAGTATATTATTATATCCCATGTAATTAATATATTAGTATATCGCTATTAACCTACATCGTGTTGAATTTTCATCAATGTTAAGCCTAACAAAAATTTTTTAAAAATAATAATCGTCACTATTGTATTGTTAAAAATTAGAAAATTAAGCCTTGTTTAAATACTGGCTCCCTTTCATGGTCGAGCCAGTGGTGCCAGTTAAAACATGTAAAAATAATATTAAAGTAGCCAAGACATCGCCAAATATTGTAGCGCCACATCACTAGCGGACATTTGAATTTGCCGACTAGAACGTGGTCAGTTAACCGAGGTGACGGTTAATCGGGGGTCGGATAATCGATGCTCTACTGTACATGCAAATCACTAATTAAAATTTGTTGTTGTACAGTAATGGAAATAATGTCAGTAAAACTTTTAATAATGTTTTGAAGCATTGTTTAGAGCAGCGATGGTAAAACTATAGCTTGTGAACCACATGATGATAAAAAAAACTCTCAATTTAATTGTTAACAAGAGTTTTTGAAGTAAAATACGTTTTTAAACAAACAATTTTACATGTAGTGACAAATATTATTAGTGTGTGTAATTTAAATTGTTTTTTATTCGTTTTGATGCCTTTTTTATTGTTATGAAAGTTTTATTTTGTTTAGGTGCACTTGTATAGAGTATACGAGCAAGTCCTTATTTATAAAATTCCTCGACATTATAAAATTTGAATTTGCATGAAACATAAGAAGCTTTATTAAGATTAGTTTAAATCTGTGAATAAACAGATTTTGCCTATAAGTTTGTTGAAATGTTAAAAAGAAAAAAATATATATTTAATACAGCCCTTGAAGTTTTCAAAAATTTTCAATGTGACCCACCAAATGAAAATTTTGTCTACTCTGATGTAGAGTATTCGATTAATACAATGAAACATAGTAAAATGCAGTGTTACACCTCAATAAGTACATTTAAATCATATTGGCTGCATTCAGCAGACTGAACAGCACAGTTATTGCATAATTTTCTGCTGAATGCTCTCTATAGTACTGCTGTTTTGGAACATGTTTGGTGTTTTGATGTCACATTTAGTAGCAGATTTATTTTACCCTACCTTTGGGTAGTTAAAAGTGGTCAAAGAGAGCGACACCCACATAGCATATGAAGTATATATTATTTACACATATGAAGGCATATATTACAGTATTAATTCATCCAAAAATAGTTATCCTCATCTGAAAACAGATATACACAAAATAAAACTTTGAAATGAATATAATTTATTCTGTTAAATGTTAAGTTTTTGGAAATAAGCAGAAGCTACTGTAACACCTCAATCCTCTTACATTAACTCATTATTCAGCAAATTCATTGCCATTATGTAACAGTTATTGATTCCTTCCACATCTTTGCTCAGTTGAAACTGTTGAGTCTAATGAATGCAGCCATTTTCTTAACAACAAACAAAATTTCAAGAACTGGCAATTTTGACAGATTATTCACTTTATTTAAAAGAAAATTCATATCATGTCATCAAATCTTTTAAGTTAAATATTTGAAAGAGTGAATGAATATTTGTATAATAAAGCTTCTATCTTGTTTAAATTTATTACAAAATTATCATTATTAAATAAAATATTGTCCTATATAAATTTTAATGTTTTACTTACTCCTTCTCTTCTTAATTGAATAAAAAATTGTTTTCTTTTAAATGATATTTTCACAATCTTTGCCCTGAAAAAAAAGCTGTATAAGGAAATAAACTGAAAATCTCTTAAGAATAAATAAATCGGTTATATTTACCAAGAAAATGTATTAATTTTTCTGTTGTTCTGAAAAACAACCAAACCAGCAGACGTTACTCCTAACTGAATTTCTGCATTTGTCGAATCCTGCAAATATTTATTATTATTAAAATTTTTTCTAAAACAATGAAAAAAGATATAATAAACTGTCTCACTTAAACTGGAACTATATACTAAACCAACAAATTGACACCTAAATGCAAATTCCAGCATATAATGAACAAATAAAATTTAATATACAAACACATAAGACAAGTCTGACAACAAGAAAGTGCCAGGAATGTACCGCATTCCATTGCAGGACAAACGTTTTAATAAGCATATAATACACATCAGATCCACATACAGATCACTTGAGGTTAGAATACGGGACCACAAATATGATATGTCCAAGGGGAAGTATAATACTGAACTAGCCCAGTATGCTACCGAACCCGATGTTTCTCCATGTTGGGATGAAGCTACTCTTTTACACAGGGCTTTTGACCGACATGACTTATGTTCATTGAAGGCTCTTGAAATTTATATAGCGGTCATGAAGGGAGGTTCCATTAACTCAGACTATATTCCAGTTCCACAATCGTTGAAGTATTATTTACAATGGCACAAAGCATAATGATAATTTTTATGTGTAATTATTTATTTATCTTTATGCAATGTGAAGGAAACAATTTCCTTATTGAATATCATTTATATGTTAAGACATCGGACTAACTTTTACAACACCACATAACATAATAACAATGAATTTATTTATAGCTTTATTTAAAAAATAATTAATTTGTATGATGTAAGTGTAATGATTTTTGTATTGATCATCATTTAAATGTTTAAAAATTGGAACACAGCTAAGTTTGAAAGTTAGAAATTTTCGAAAGATAGAACTATTTTTTGTGTTTTGTACATTCATTCCTGATGAGGGCCTCTGAAAGACAGCCAAAAATGTTTGAACATTAAATTTTATTTGTTCAATATATGCTGGAATTCGCATTTAGATGTCAAGTTGTTGGTTCAATGAAAAAGGCATGCAAAATTTAAGTATAATATTCTAAAACATAATTTTTGTCGTCTTTGGAGAAAGTTTGTAAACTGATGAATATATAAAGTAAATTTATCATATTTTTATGAATTAATAATGATACATATATTTCGTATATATTTTGATATATATTAATATAGTCTTATATGTAACAATTGACAATTATAATAAAATTAACAGAATAAAACATTAAAATAAAAAATTATACAAATATCCAGTGAATGTTTCTGTTATTTTTAATGTACTATATTTTATGGCACATAAGATGAACCCACATTTTGGTAAAGAATATTTTGGAAAAAAGTATTTAATGTATTCAAGCCATCCCTTGCCTTTTGCAATCTACCCAAAAACTCTTCCCTTGCCTATCATTGGACAACTGGGGATCAAATACAGGTGAATTAAAAACCCCCAGTAATTTTTCAGGGAGTTGATCTGTATGGATATTTTTGGCCCTTTCTCTCACCAATTGACAGCTCCATTGTGGGCCTGGCTAAGCCCATAGAGGGCTTGCTAAAAATGCCCCTTAGTATCCATATAGCAGAAAGATTTTTTAAAATTTACCATTTAAATATTCAACATAAATATATGCAAAAGCTGCTTAACTAAATCAAAATTAAAATAATAAGGATGCCAGAGAACTTGCTGGTTAGATATGATCGAGGCAGACAATGGCTTGCCTCTGTGCCAGCACTCTTATGGATAGAAGGAATATGATCTGTAGGGTGACCCAGGGTTGGCAACAACTGAATGATTATCATCACAAATTGTTTAATTACACAATAGCATTTTTATTCAAGAATTAGGTAGAGGTTACCTGTAGCCTACCAAAGGCCATCTGGAAAATTCATTAGCCTAAGGGAGATTGCAACTTCATAAGAAACCAGGCAATTTTTAGCCTTTTTTGTTTTTTAGACAAAAATTGAATCTTGTATGCTATGAAATATAGTAATATTCAGATTGCCAAACGTAAATTATAATAATCAGAATCAAGAATTCTAATTACAACTTTTTGATACAACTGTCATTTGGGACTAGCATAATTTTAATGACTGATAAATACCACAATATTCAGATACAATATTACAATATAGGTATGTAATATGTAATATTAAAGGTAATAGTTGAAGATTACTACCAAATCAATTATTTATTTCCTCATTTTACTTGTCAAAAGGTAGATAAAGTAACTATGTGTGTCTTCAATGCATGTTTACTTCCTAACATATTTTCATTAAAATCTGTCATTTTAACTGTCAATCTATAACTGCAAAAAATATTTCTCACATTTCTATAAGATGTTACATTTAACAGTTTCACTAATTTATTATATATTTTATATANTATTTAATAAAAAAATATATATATAAAAATACTAAATAATAAATATAATGGTGTATTATTTATCTGTTTATATTTTAGAAGAACCTGACACCACACTACTAAATTTAATTTTTAACTTTTCAAAAGCAGGTGTATAAACTACAAGATAATTTTCAGTTATACACAGCTAAAATAATTATCAAAATATGGTCTAAAATTAGCTTTAATATAAAAACAACCCAATAATTTAAGCTTATTTTTTGTAACTTTCAGGCTACGATTATATTGATATGTATATAAAGCCAGCTTGTAGAAAGTTTATTGTTTTGAAATTCTGTTTAATTAATCAATTGTTAATTATATCAACAATTTATATACAATTTAAACAATTCTTAATTGTTAATGTGAAAATAGTGTATGAAATGAAGTTAATTCTTTCTTAAACCATTAAAATTTAAATTAAGAAATATTAATAAATTATTTTAGTATTAGATCTATAATAATAGAAGCAGTAAAATATTACTGGTGCTTACCCTTACCCTCGCCCAGTGCAAATCCACCCCGTACATATCCAACCTCTTTGCATGATCCAGGAAATTGTATTCTGCATCAGCTGGTGTTTGACCTCTGAAAAACACAAATTATTAATGTATGAAATTAAAGAAAATGGTTAACATTTAAAAGAAATTACTATTAATTTATTGGTCCAAGAAATTATGTTATGTTAATTTTCTGGATTAAAACCGCAAATTTATAGACTGATTAAATTTAAGTAAAATTAGTGTGTTTTTAAGGTTTAACTGAAAATAATTTATAGTACAGGGATGGGCAAGCAAGAATTCAGTGGGAGCTAAAATGTGGTTTTTGCAAAATGCATGGGAGCCGCAGTTCTGTACATTTTTATTCTGTATTGCAGTTCTGTACTGCGATTTTATTATATAATATAAAACAAATATTGAATTTTTTTAATAAACATATTTTCACAAAATTGTAAAAATAATAATAAAAAAGCAGAAACTAACATTTTCAGCAAGAGCTGTACGTAACTCAAAAAGAGCCGCATTTGCCCATGTCTGTTATAGTACTTATTTCCTATATTTATTTATTTACTGCATAGTTTATATTTAAATTTAATTTAAATTACTGAAAACAAAGTTTCAAACAATCTATTTCAGCTGTAGTTATTTTTTTCTAAAATACATTTTCTGATTCATGACGTCTTTAATCTTATTAAATAAGTAATCTTCTTTATAAATTTAAAATGGTAAAAATAAATTCAAGTGACAAAGAAAAAAAACGAGTGTCATATATTTTAATTTATTTTGTCGTAAAACCTGTACAAAGTACTTTAAATTAATGTATGCAAGTTCAATTTGTTAACTGACAACAAGAAAAGTTTAATGTTCTAATGTTATTTTGTGTTAAAGGAGTGAGACAATTTACTTTTCAAAGGTACACAAGAAATTATAAGTTAAGATTCTTGAAAAACAGCTTGTTATTTTTAAAATTTAAATTATTAAGAGTAATAACTTAGTATTAAAAGAAGTTAAATTGTAAAAGGTTTCATCTGAAATGTACCAAATTATTTGACTCGTTTGAATACACAGATATAATCTAAGTTTCCAAAGGACTCCATCAAATAATCATTAAAAATATATTTATAAGCCAACATTTCTTGTGTTGTCTTATCTATATTTAAGTTTATATTCTTGTAAAATGAATTAAAAAAATCAATTAGAGATGTCAAATGCTTTGAGTCAGAAAATGTTTATGACTTTCCGTTTCAAGCATTTTTCTTTCATAAAATATTACATAGAATCAAATTTGTTTGTGATATACTTCAAGTTCTCAATAATAGCATAAAATTTTTTTTGTGAAATGTTAAATTTAATAACTATTTAAATTTTGCATATTATTTGAGTCAATAAATTATTTAAAACCAGTTTATTCAGTTTATATATTATTAATACTCTCTAATCTATATAATAATTGATTTAAAATAAGGTAAAAACTGGTGACTAAGATCTATACAGCTAAAAACTTTAATAAATGAAATACAAACTTGTGTAATTTATGCAATTCAATAATTTTCTTCTCTTCTTCCTCATTCTGATTTGGAACTAATCTTAGTTCTGCTAAATAACCATATTTATGCTCTTCTGAATTATAATCACCAAGTTCAGCTAGAAATAATGTAAATAAATAATATATATTAATATATTAATTATGTATAAATATCTTCTTTGTATCTTTATAAATATTTAATTGCATAATTTACATCAATGTAATTAATTAATAATTTTTTAAATGTAATAATCATCAAAGTTAAAAATTAATAATAAATTTAATTATTCTGCTTTAATGGCAAATCTTATATTACAAATAACACAACACATTTGTTCCTAACACTCAATTTTAACTCATTTCCAAAGGTTAATCAATGCTTCAAATTAAACTATTTAAATCTTTAAATACTTTCAAATTTCAGCTGAAAAATTTCTAAACAAATTCTATTTAAAGAACAGGTACAAACAGCTTAAAGCTCTGTGAAAATCTTTGGATTGCTCTCAACCATTTCCTCACGACAGTTTGAACATCTTTGTCACAGGTGAAATAAATTTATTTGAAATGTCTCAAAAGTAGAAAACAACCAAAAGTCTGAAGGTGCCAAATCTGGACTTAAAGGAGAATAGTCAAGAACTTCAATCCAACATTTTTGTATGGTATCTGATGAAAAAGCATTGATGTAATGTTTAGCAGTGCCCATGTGACACAAAAGACTAGTGACAGTTTATGACACAATCCAGTGCCATAAACTGCCACTAATCTTTTGTGAATTTCTTTGAGAGATACATTTTTGCAAGTTAAAAACTATAACCTATTGTTGCTTGGCACACGTGAAACACTTGGAAAAGTATTATCTATTTCAAACAATTAAATTTGAACTACAGCATATTTGATTCTCTAAATACATATTAAAGTGCAGCTAATGAAACAAGGAATCATTTGTCATCTAACTGCTTGCCAAGTAACAACTGTGTGAAATACTTGCACAGAGGCATTACTTATTAAATAGCCTACGTACATTTTAAATTTTACAAATAGATGCAATTTAAGTAGTTAACTGTGAAGAATATACAAACTATTGGTTTTCATATAATTTCATTCTGCTGAAAGACCTATGACAAGATCAGAATCATTTATTAAAGTTTTTAACGAAGTTGAGTGTCTTTTGGCATGACAAAATTATATGTAACCAGTAGTCTGGTTACCTTTCGCAAAGTTCATTGACCACTTAGAAAAGCAATTTAAGTAGTGCAAAAGTTAATCTGCTTTTGTAAATCTTTCAAATAAAAATATTTATTGACATATGGCAATAGGATACTATGGTTACTACCTCTTTAAGATAACCTAGAATTAGGTGAAATGAACAAACAAACAAATTCAAAAAACAAAAATAAAAATAGTAAACTAAAATAGTTTGTGATTATATCTGTTGTTTACTATTTTATTGAGAATTTTATAACTATTCAACTTCTATTTCTGGTTTGGTCAAATTTCAGTTGTTAAAGCTAGAGTGAATGAGAAAGCATTGGCCCACAATTGATCTACATTTCAGGATAAATTGCTTTTGCCTTTGACTCTGTATATTAAAAGAAAATCTATCAAAAGAAACCATAAGGTATAGGATATCTCATAGATAATACTTGAAAATAAATATTGTCTCCTGTGTAAGTAATATTTTAATAATATTTAATTTCTGGTATTTATAATAAAATTAAGCCAAAGTAAAGCAGCTAATGTTTAAGTATGACTGGTTAAAATTATTTTGTAACTAGGTGCTTTCACTATACTTTAACTAAATTTTTGATCTACAAGTGACACAGCTTTTCTTATGATTCTGGAATCAAGATACGTTTTCAGTCTATTTACAACACCGACAAATGAGGCTAGAGCTTTGATCAAGTGACTAGTGTGGATGAACCACATTAAGTTGTCATCTATAAGCAGACTGAGACATTTTAGTTTTGTTGTCTTTTTTATTCTATAGTCTTGTATAAATATTGACATCACTTATACTTTTAATAATGAATGACATAACAAAAAACTTTTGAATATTTCACAAAAACATTAAAATTAGTCAATTTCTATTTTGTTTCCTTCCATATTGAGAAAAAAGAAACAAACAAAGCCGCGCTTACATTGTACAGCATAACTCGCTAAGAGAGTGGCAGTGGCTGGAGGCACTATAATTCTTCCTTCCAAAATATCTTTTCTTATTTGAAGAAAGAGATGATACCTGCAATTTAGAAAAGTTAGATGAAACGTAAATGCAGTTATAAATATAATTATTAAGATTACATACCTCGTGTATTCTTCTTGTAGTTTGCTTGGATCGGAAACATAAAACTTCACTCGAAAATAAAGTAAATGCGGAGGACCGGCTGTAAAAAGGTACAGTTGATTAATGCTTACTTCTTAAAAATATTGATATATTAATCATATACAGTAGAACCTCCATTATCCGGACCTCCATTATCCGGATTTTCGATTATCCGGATTGTCCAAAATAAACAAAAATTTTACGAATTTGCTGATTTGCACTTGGCGAATTACGACACTGTTTATGTACATGATGGAATGCATAACTTTTTTTGTTTCAACAACGTCTCACCCAGCACAGTGGTCGTAAACTCTTAAATATATTTTACGTCGTAATAAAAATATAACTTGACAAACGTATTTATAAATAATTTATATTCAAATTAAATCATTTCTATGACCAAGGGCGGCGTAAGGCATGGACGACGTGGGCCACCGCCTATGCCTCGCGGTCCGAAGGGCCTCGCGTTTCGAAGGTTTATGCATTACTTAAAAGCCGCGAACGCGACGAAAATATTTTACTCGTCATAAAATGATAGTTTGTCAAATTTTTATTCATAAAAATGCAGTTTCAACTGCTTTTTATTTTATAAAATCCTTATTCTTGAGCCGCCAGAGGGCCTTTTAAACAATAGGTAGTCTGTTAGCGTTGGTCAGTAGTAGTACAAATTCAATACGAACGTTTGTTTCTTGAAAATCTGATCACGATTTAAATACAGTATTTACTTTTAATATTACCGATATGTCATCGAAAAGAAAACGTATTGTATTATCATTAAAAGACAAATTAAAGTATTTTTTCGATTATCCGGATTTTTCCTTATCCGGACTACCTTCATCCCCAATTAGTCCGGATAATAGAGGTTCTACTGTATTTTAATTTAGTTAACTTGCAAGACTCAAATGTTACATATGTTATAAATGGATTATTCTCATAATTTTAAGTATTTACATGCAGAATATTAAAATTTATATTGTAAAGCTAAACAATTTTTTTAACAAAACTTATTAATAAACTGTTTAAAAATCATAACAAATCAATATGAATAAATATTGATTTGTTATGATTTAGAATATAACTTACTGTAACTCTCTGTAGAATATAACTTACTGAAAATGAGTGCTTTGGTTGTGTGAATAAATATAATCAGGTACGTAACACATTTTAAGATAACAACGTACTGAACCAATAATTAATTAGACTGCAATTAACGCTAAATATTAATTACTGAAAGTTGTACTGTACTACTAATTAGTTATTAATTAATTATTAATTAGAAGAATTTGACGTTATAGGCAATGCCACTGGTAACAATATTATAGGGTTATGTCACCACCCATCAATAACTTCAACAATTAAACAACTTTCTAAATTTAATTAAATTAATCTAAAAGTTCAAACGTGACAGTTTCTATTTGAAAAATGTTTTTATGATAATTTGATTTTAAGTGCAATTTTTCATTATAGATGTATAAAATATATATATTTTACTCTAAATTTAATCTTAGAAAGATCAATAACAGATCAGAATAGAATGTGCATGTGATTATTTTGCCAGTATCACCATCAAAATGCCACATTTAATTACGCTACCAGACTCTCCCATTATTAATTAATTACTTAATATCTGATTAGTGAAACCAGATGTATTTTGGCAATTCATTAAAATTTTTTGATATTAATACTAACTAAGCCAACCTAATGTTCAATTATTGACGAACTTGGTAATTTGTTATGATTTTTATATAAAAAGAACATTATTAACAAGCAATACTCACATTTCATTTGTTTTCGTACGCATTTCGACGGATCCAGCCACCTCTGAAAATAAGTTATTCTGCATTATTTGTATCGCAAATATATATTACATACCGTATAAAAAAAAATAATTAACTGACCATGGCATCTGGAGATGGTGCAATCTCTGCAAACTGTAACCCAAAATAATCCTTTTCTATCAGTTCCAAATGTTGGAAGACTAGATCTAACAGCACCTGACCTTTAGCACGTTTCTGTAATTAATATCTTTTGTTATGTTTTCACAATAATAAATTACCATTTATATATTATTCTATCATCAAAACAATGAAAATCTTGATTTCTAAATAATAAAATTGTACTAAAAGCAAGCAATCAGTTGCTGGAGAAAACTCATTATCATCATGTACATAGGGTGACTCACAAACTTTAAACAAAACTTTCTCCACTATGGATAAATATAATTTGATGTTCCAGATGAAACAAAGTACTTAAACTACAGAAGTTCAAGTACTTTATTGTATCAGAAAGTCTCCAAATTATACTCATTCGTTACTTATAACTTCTGTTTCAAATGATACTATATACTAAGTACAGACTGCAAAGTTATAGACAAAATGGTTTTTGTCTGTAATTCAAAATTAAATAACCACAAATTTTAAAGTATAATATTATTGAATATATTTTAATATTTTACGACATTTTAACACGTACATAATAGTTTATGTAACTTAAAGGTTAAGAACTCACGTCGATTTCAAATATCTGCTGGCTGTCATCAAGGAAGAATACGGTGCAACGAATCGTCTTGATCCTCTTGTCTCGAGCAAGTTCCGACGCTCGCACGTTGTATGTGCCACTCGACCCACCCAACGCCCTCCTGGACATACTCCACGACTGACCACTAAAAAAATACATATTCTATGGATTACGTTTGACAAAAATTTTCCAACATGTTAAAATAAATTATTAATTTAAATGCTTAAATCAAAAGTTTACTTGAAAATTAAATGGAATAGACCAAATTGGCCAAACAAAATTTTAAAATAAATAGCAAACAATGGTGAATATAGTGGATAACAAGATACTTTAAAATCCATCTTAAATTATAATTAGATTGTATGAAGATTGGTTGTTATGCTAACAAACTTAGGCAACTTAACTACTGAGTCAATTCACTCATCTCTTTTAACAATGGGCTCCACTGTTCAAAAGTATTCAAGAAAAACTATTATTAAAGTGAACTTTAATAACAGTTTTCTTGAAGCAGATTTTTTTGTCGCTATTATAGTATAACACTCTTGACCTCTAAGTGCTCCCTGAGCAGAAAGAAGTCTAAAGCGCAAAAATAATAATGATATAAAATTCTTCCCAAACATTTGATTATTATTAAATACAAAATGTTCAAAAATAATGTAAACACTTTGATTTTTAATAACTTATGTGTTTATTTTCTTTTTTTTCACTTGCAAATTAAGTATAACAGAAAATATCAACTTAAAAATGGAATATAAAAATTTTAATTGTGTGTTAAAACTCACAGAAACATGTGAAAATACCACTAAATTTTGTGATATTGGACTTACAATTGCACAGCAAAAATTTGTATTGAATTGGCATTGTAAGTTGAAAAATACTGACAAATTCCAGTAGTTTAGGAATACCATACTTGATCGCCATGTGTCTTGTGATTTACACATTGTTAAGAAGTTAGAAGCAAATGATACTATGCAAAATGTACACAAGTAAATTTCTACAAGCCAAACGAGATCATAAGATGGGCTTCAACTTTGCCAAGAAACACCAAGGAAATCTGTCCAAAACTAAAGAGCGATATTCCAAGATTGGTGCAGACCCTAAACAAAGATGATCCCAACTGTTGACTTTTATAAGTGGTATTTAGTAAAACTGCAGGGGTGATTATTTTGCCTATAAAATCATGTGAAGTGATGAGGCAATACTCACACTAAAGCACAATGTGTGCAATTGTAAATCCACAGAACAACATGTGGATTTACTGAACATTAAGTGTTGTGAGTTTCCATCCTTGAGAATGATTGGACCATTTCTTTTTAATGCAAGTGTTACTGATATTGTTTACCTCAATTTACTTCAAGAATCAATCACTCCATACACTTATCTGGATAATCTGTTCCAAACAGATGGATTGGACAAAGGAGAAGCATCAAGTACCATCCATGTTTTCCAGATTTAAGACCAATGCATTTATATTTAAGGGAACACTTAAAAGACAAAGTTTATGCCACAAAGTTATCAATTATCACTGAACTACAGTAAGTTATTAAAGTAGGATGTGCTGAAATATCAACAATATCATCTTAGCTGAAGTATGCACTTCAGTTTCTTGACAATGTCAATAATGTCTGGATGAGAATGAAGAATGATTTGAACACTTGCATATTTTAGTCCAATACCTTTCCTTCATTAAAAAAGTGAAAATTAATAAAAATAAATATTACTTCACTTCATCCAACTCTGGAATATAATCAATTACATACCTCAAAGCCTGTTATCAGTGTGCAATTAACTTCAAAATACGAAAAATTAAAATTTCATGAACGTTTTCGAACCTTCAATGGTTCTTCAGGCAACAACGAATTTCCATTAGAATGCGATTAAATATGAATATTATTCGAAATTCGAATACATGTTAGCCAATGAATTTTTACTAGGCATGTGCATTATATGATGAGAATTTATACCTCTCTGTCCACTAGCGCTTGCCATGCTAAGGACAGATTTAATTCCTCTTTATGGTTGATGCAGGTGTTGTTTAGTTTGTATACATATATGGCTTCCAACCACTTTAGATGTTCAGTGTATGGCGTGCTGTGGATGATTCTCACCTGATTAAAATTCGACTCTATCTCAGGATCACTGGCGTAAATACTCAGAGCTGTGGTGGTCTTGGCGTGTTGTACGTCCGCAATGTGCTCTTTTACTCTAATGCCCAAGGAGTGCTTTGTAGAGCCAATGTAACCAAGCTCTCTATTGCATCTGTGATCTTTTATTGGGATGTTGTAGACTCCTGGGAGTCTGTCACAGTTAAGAACGTCCTTTCCACTGCGAAGGATGTCAATTAATGCATTAATTAGAAGAGCGCACACTCACTCCTCCACACAGCAAGCTCTGCATGCCGAACTGAGACATACTCATTGCATGGCCTCAGACCACGGGTATTCCAAAATTACATGTAAATTAATCAGAAGGTTCCACCACTTCCAGGAAGCGCTCCAAAGTCCACTCCTGCAATGAAGACTGGCAAGAGGAGGAAAGGATCCCGATCACTTATAACCTGTATCTCCAATCACCCTTTGCACAGATAACCAAAAAGTGCTAAAATCACATCGCATATAGAAGATGTCCAACCATTTTTTTAACACAAAGAGGAATTAAATATGTCTTTAGGATGGCAAGCACTAGTGGACAAAGAGCTATAAATTCTCGTCATTTACTGCATGTATAATGTATCTAGTAAAAATTCATCGGCTAACACATATTCGAATTTCGAATAATATTCATATTTAATGCATTCTAACAGAAATTCATTGCCACCTGAAGAAGAACTGTTGAAGGTTCAAAAATGTTCATGAAATTTTAATTTTCCGCTTTATTGAAGTTAATTGCACACCGTTAACAGGCTTTGAGGTACGTAATTGAAAATAAACATTGACATTATTAATAAGCAAAGCATATATACATTGTTTTTTCAGATATCCTATAGTTACCTTACCATCATTAAAGAGAGAATATCTTTGCTGGTGTATTTTAAACAGCCATGTATAGTTAAGGCATAGAACTTAAACTATGAGTTGACACACTGTTTCGAAGAAGCATATGGCCAGTAACACTTTTGTTTGAATTGTCTTAAATTTAATTGGAAGTCTATAAATTCAGAAAGTTTTATCAACTGTGGAGAAACGTCACATATGGCTCTAGTTAAATTTTATAAAGCAATTTGACAGATTAGTGTTTACTTAGTTATTAATTAATGAATTATCACACATTGATTTGCTGTGGTAATGTAATAAATATGATTAAATCCTAATGTAAATTAAAGATGTTCAACTTAAAATGTTTGCTTGGTGTAACTTCTAATGTAACCACACTTGTATGAGCTTAAACCTCCAAATGAAACACTTCTTTTGTAAGCTTTTTAAATTAAATTAAATTAATATTTAAAATTATTTGATCAATAAAACTATCAATGGGTATCATATGCCTACTTTCAACACTAAATTCCTCCAATCATTAATTAATTAACTGTTAATTACTAAGTTGGTATAAACTGGCAAAAAAATAGAAAAGTTTCTGTATCTTTAATGTTCTTAAAATTGGATAACAGTCTGATGTTCGCAATTGGCATAAAATTCTCATTTCCAGGGCCGTGCTGTGCTACAATGCAGAGATGCTGCCGCATCAGGTGGCACCGTAAGGAGGCGGCATAAGCAGCATTTAAGGAGTGGCATAAGCAGCGTTTAAGAGGCGGCATTTTGAAGACTTGCAGCGTACTAAGAAATTCTACCGCACAGCCCTGCTAATTTCTATCAGAGGAATTCTATAAACGTTCACGATGTGTACTTATCTTAAAAATTGGATTCTTCATTGAGTAAATGTCTTGCCTACATTTAAAACCATAAACCATCCATGGAAACTAAAGTAAGAGCAACAGCACAAAAACAAAATCCATTTCTTATAAGTAAATAATGTTAAAAAATTAATGCATTTCTGTAACAAATAGTTTTCTCAAAAACAAATGATCAATGGTTCGACCATCTTTTGCAAAAAAAGTTCATTAGTTGTTTGAATCTGGTGGTTCCACCTATTTCATGAAAGATGGAATTACAACCACACACCACTGCCCTGTCACATACAACAATTCTTTTTTTTTATTATAAATTTTAAGAGACTGCAATATATTATACACCTTTAAAAAAGTAAACACAAATATATTTTGTAAAATAAATTCCATTTTTCGGGTAATACAAAATTTAATATATATAAATTACTTCTTCCTGTTACAAAATTAATTCAAAAAATTCATTAAATCAAAATAGAGTGAGTAAACACCTGCAAAACATCAGTCACACTTTATTAATAAACAATTTTTGACATTATTTTCCCTAAATGTGTGTTAAAACCGTACAAAAATCATTAAGTTGACAACGTTATCCTGTATTCCTCTCGAGAAAAATGGCAATAAAATATTAATAATAATAACTATCAATTTCAATTAAAAGAACGAAGACTCATCCGTCGACAAAACATCAATTAATTCCGATTGTCAACCTCGACATAATTAGTTTATATTAAGATTGTCTAACTTTAATGAATTGTATTAATCAATATAATTCAGTCGTATTAGATAAATGAAGCTCCCTTCTCCCATAATTTCTTTTTCCCGTTCAAAACCACATTTAACTGATGATGTAATTTAATTACGACATTCAGAACTTTACATATTTAATTATAATATCAATTAAATATAAATATATATCATTATTACTTCCAATACCAAATGGATAAATTGTACTTAAGCATATAACTTTATAAAATTATAAATTCGCTTGTACGCCAAGAAACTGTCGCAGTCTTTTCCAATTCGATGACTCCGGATAAATAAATTGTTATATTAATGTATTGTTAGCTACACGAAACGTAAAATACCTTCCAAAGTTCAAAAGTTTAGAATGTATGGCAACGATGCTAAATAAATACTTCATCATAATTTGACAAAAATTCTTTGACAATTCAGGATAATTAAAAATATTATTAATTAAAGAAGAATTTCTAGATCAATAAGCGACTAATATGTTAAAAATGTTGACACGTATAAAAAAACTAATTTGCGTCATCATGATTCATTAAATGTCATTATCATCT